GCAGGCAGGCAGGCTGAGCCATCCAAATTGGAAAGGAAGAAGTAAAATTGCCTGTTTGTAGATGATCTGATCTTATATATATATAAAACCCTAAAGACATCACAAAAAAACTGTTAGAACTTATAAACAAATTCAGTAAAGGTGCAGGATACAAAATCTATATACAAAAATCAGTAGCATTTCTCTACACTAACAATGAACTACCTGAAAAAGAAGTTAAGGAAACAATCCCATCTACAGTAACATCAAAAAAAAAAAAAAAGGAAGAAATTCTTCGGAATAAATTTAACCAAGGAAGTGTTGTCCACCTATACATTGACAGCAGTAACACAGCCTACGGCCATACCACCTTGAACGTGCCCGATCTCATCTAAAAACTATAAAACATTAATAAAAGATGCTGAAGATGACACAAATAAATTGAAAGATTTCTCATGCTCATGAATCAAAAGAATTAATATTTCCAAATGTCCGTACTATGCAAAGCAATCTACAGACTCAATGCAATCTCTACTAAAATGCCAATGGCATTTTTCATAGAAATAGGAAAAAACAATCCTAAAGTTCATACAGAACCACAAAGGCCACATGCAGCTAAAGCAATCTGGAGCAAGAACAAAGCTGAAGGCATTGTACTTCCTGATTTCAAACTGTATTACAAATCTGTAGCAATCAAAGCAGTGTACTAGCATAAACAAGCACTGGCATAAAAACAGACACTTAGACAATGGAACAGAATAGAAAGCCCAGAGTAAACCCATGATGCACACACAGCCAACCAATCTTCAACAAAGGCACCAACAATACACAATGGTGCTGGGAAAACTGAATATCCACATCCAAAAAAATTGAAATTGGATCCTTATCTTGCACCATATATAAAAATCAACTCAAAATAGATGAAAGACCTGAAAATGTAAAACTCCTAGAAGAAAACATAAGGGAAGAGCTCTTTGACATTGGTATTGGCAATGATTTTTTTTGTATATGATATCAAAAGCACAGGCAACAAAAGCGAAGATAAACAAGTGGAACTAAACTATCCGACTAAAAAGTTTCTGTACGGCAAAGAAAACAATCAACAAAACAGAAAGGCAGCCTATGGAATGGGAGACAGTATTTGTAAACCATATATCTGGTAAGAGACTGATATCCAAAATATACAAGAAACTCACACAACTCAACAGCAAAAACCAAGTAACCCAAATTAAAAATGGGCAAAGGATCTGAATAGACATTTCTCCAAAGAAGACATACAAATGGCCAACAGGTATGAAAGGTGTTCAACATCAGCAATCATCAGGAAATGCAAATCAAAACCGCCTCATGCCTGTGAGGATGGTTGGTATCAAAAAGTCAAAAGAGAACAAGTGTTAGGGCATGAAGAAAAGGCGGCCACTACACACTGTTGGTGGGAATGTAAATTAGTGCAGCCTTTGTGGGGAACAGCATGGAGCCTCCTCAAAATATCGACATTAGAACCATCGTATGAGGCAGCAATCTCACTACCAGCTATACATCCAAAGGAAGTGAAATCAGCATCTCAAAGAGATACTTGCATTTCCATGTTCATGGCAGCATTATTCACAATAGCCAAGATGTGCATCCCTAATGCAGCCGAAATTCAGCTCCACATTGCCCCGTGGCTTTCTGCCTTGATGTACCCTCCCTGGGTGCACCCACCTGTCTCCTCCACTGCGCTAGGTCAAGAACTGGCCTTTCTCAGCTTTGCAGCCCTCCCCGAGCACTCAGCTCCAAAGAGACACCCAATATCGTAGTCAAACCACAGGAAACGATACAATAAATTAGGCTATTCTGTGCGCTCATCCTTCTCAGGAGATGTAGAAAGAACATTAAAAGCATTCATAGTCACCATGCGCCTGCGTTGGCTTTTGAGAATGAGAACAAGAGGGTGATGCTGATGAGAAAGCGTGAGGACAGAGCTAACCGCTGAGGGTGACAGATGGTGGACGTGACAGCGTGTGGGCGTCCTCGTCAATGTGACATAAGAGGTCTGCCACCACATGCACATGGAGCCCAAACATCATTCCTCCAAAAAACATCGATGAAATGACATTGTGGAAATGAATTTACGACCATCTGGAATAGGGGAGATTATCTACTTCCTAATGCTGAAATACAAAGTCATCTACACAAGAAAATAGAGGGACACCTATTTTATCACTATGTAAATGTTATAATGAGTTCAATAATGAAATAATAACACAATTTATCTACAGCATGTCCAACTTTTATAAGAAGTATAGTAATGAAGTAAAAGTAATAAGCACTTTGTATTTCTAAGGTAACCCAAGAACTTCATGCAGCAGGCAAGCCCTCCTCCCCTCCTCTCGATGAGAAAGCATCTAAGGGTCCAGCCCCAGCTGGCCAGCCCTCTGCTCACCCTGGCCAGCGCGCCTGGCTCTGTCCTGGCACAGCAGGACTCGCTGGTGCATCCAGGGCCCTCAGGAGCTGGGTCTCAGCGACCCCCTGCCTCGCCCACTCACGTATTTGCTCATCAGACACAGACGGAGCACTCACGAGAAAACGGTGGAGAAACTGTTCTGGAGAAGGGGCCGCATCCGAGAGAGCACGGGAACTATGTTGAAAATCTTTAAAGTTAATAGCTCCACTTCTATCAACTTATTCTAAAGAAATATTCAGAGATATGTACAGAAAATGCAAGTATAAAAGTATCTTACACATCAAGGAGAAAAAGAATGCAAAGGGCTAAAAAAAAAGACAGAAAAAGACAACCAAAAAAAAAAAAGAACAAAAAGACATAAAAGAAATACAAATGACTTTTAGGCACATGAAAAATGGCCCTACCTCATTCACAATTACAGAGAAGCAAAAGAAAACCACACTGAGGTAGCATTTATTAATGCCCAGACCAGCAACCAAGTCGGGAGGGCGTGAGGAACAGGCATTCCGTGCATTGCCTCTCAGAGAGGACATGACTCAGTCCCCTCGGAGGGCAATTTGGCAACATCTACCAAAATTTTAAATGCACATGCATTTTGATGTAGCAATTACACGGGTAGAAATTTATGTCCACATAAAAAATGATGTATATACAGGGTTATTCACTGCAGCAAGCACCCAGGAAAGTGTAAATCCCCAGTAAATGAGGATAAATCTATGCTATGGAAGACCAGTCATATGTCAAAGAATGAGGAAAATCTTGCTTGTCCTCGTACAGAGTCATCTCCAAGATACAGTACATGAAAAGAGCAAAATGCAAAACTATACAGGTATTATGCAACTACTTGTGCAAAAGGGGAGGAATCGATTGTAAGTGTGCTTGCCAATTCATAAAATATCTCTGTAAAGATAATTACAAATTAACAATAGTTGTGGGAGTGTTGGATGGGACAGGAAGGAGACTTTTCACTGTAAATGCCTTTTTGCACATTTTGAACTTTGAACTATGAGAATATTT